TTATTCGCTTTTTCTCTCAGTTTTTCGCTGTTGTTTATTCATCCGTTTTTCGCTGTTGTTTCTTCATCTGTTTTTCACTTTTGTTTACTAATTGATTTTTGCTCTTGCTTTTGTTAATCAACCGTCTCTCACTCCCAAATTCACCTTTTTGATAATGATAATGATTTTTCTTTTACAATTTGCTTTTCATTTTCGCTTTTGTTTTCCACCCATAGTCGTTTTCAAATTTCATTTTTAACAACAATACAATTTTACTATCAACAATAAAATATCAACATAGACAGAACTAGAACACTATCATAATATGTAACAAAAAATGTATAAACAGAATGGTTCATGGACTACAGAAATTAATTGCGTACAATTCTTCTCCAAGTAACATAACTTGTAAAATGAAATAATTGTGTACAATTCTTTCACCCCATAGCATAACTTGGTTAAAAGATTGAAACAATTAATGGTTAGGTCCTTTGATCCAGAGAAGGAATTGTTATTGATTAAACGGCATGTTGATTGATAGTAAAATGCATTGTGTAGAATAGTTTAAGGCTTTTGTCTAGAAAAAACAATTGTTATTATTAAATATTGTTAATAGAAGTAACCTATCACTTAAAATTAAAGAAAACTGACTCTCCCAAATCCTCTTAACCTAAACACAAATACTCATAAAGTCTCTCTAATATTACCAAATCTGATGATATTCATAGATATCAGCACAGGAATTAGATAACAAATGAGTACAAATCAGTTTATACACTCTCTCCCCCTCAATTGTACATGTAGTAGGTAAAATCGTTGATTACACCTAATTATGATCTACTTGCAACAACACTATATTACGTAATTGTCATAAATTTTTGAAAATAAGAAAAGATCTGCTTCTGAACTATCTCCAACTATATTTTAACTCTAAGATTGGTATTAGGGTTAGAGTTAGAGTGGAGAACAAGTTTATATAAAATTACCTGCCTGAAATTTTTTATTAGTGAATCAAGCCTATATTCGAGCATTAGTTCCTCGTATTTCACAATTTTCATTTTCTTGTTCCTATTTGTTGGTGATCAGGAATGCAAACCCCTACACTATATTACTGGAAATTGAAAAAAAAATAATAAAACATAGTAAAATTGACATTGTTCTTTATATTAAAATTTATTAATAAATAATAAATTTTAATATAAAGAACAATGTCAATTTTACTATGTTTTATTATTTTTTTTTTCAATTTCCAGTAATATAGTGTAGGGGTGTGTAGTAGATCACATATACGCAACATTAACACAAAGTCGATCAGTGACCATTAACGTTAAATTTTAAATGTCATGATTTTGAAGTGTCGGGATTTTGAAGTGTCGGGATTTTGAATTTTCGGGATTTTGAACTGCCGGGATGTTAGTGTTCGGGATATTGAACATTCGGGATGTTGGATTTTCGGGATGTTAAACTATGGGATGTCGGGATTGGTTTTCGGGATATCTACCGGATCAATTTTTATGCGAATCCAATTATTACGCATCGAAATATCCCGCCCGAAAGTTGCCATTCCGATGCAAATCGATAGGGATGTTAATGGAGCACGCCGGATCATATTAACACACTCAGGAATCACTCGAGAGTGGGTTATATGTTTTAATATGATCCGAAGTGCTCCATTAACATCTCTTCAAATCGACGAACAGTTCACCGAACAGCAACTTTCGAGCGCGATATCTCGATACCCAGTTGTTAGATTCACACAAAAATATACAACACAACTAGACTAATCGAATGGTAATATTTTTGTGTAACCTCCATAGCTAGGTGTCGAAAAATCGCCAGAAAAATTTTTTGTGTCCATATGCGGCAAGATCGATCGTAAAATATTTATTTTTGAGATACATGTATCAAGTTAGCATATTGTTGCCGTAGCAACACGAAATTCCCTGATTCCATAATTTCTTCATAATTTATACATGTATTATTATTTATCACGTACCCCCAATCCCCATTTCGCATGATTATCGTATTACGATGATCGTTTATTATTATTATTATTTTTAACCTTCGTGCTCATCTTCGTTATAATTATGTTCCTTTTTAAGAAATCCTTTGTTGGACTAATTTTACAGTTTTTTGGTAATTGTTTGTATTACCGAGCTGATAACTTCGAGCTGATAACTTACAGTTGATAATTGCTAGTGAATACTTTCTTGTGAATAATTTCTAGCCGATATTTTTGTTTTTATTTTTGTAAGTCTATAGAACGAAATATGTAATTAGTATAGTCGAAGGATTGTTATAAAAGGAGCTTCTTTTAAGTAGAAAAAGCTTATGCTCTGATTCAATAAAAGTGCAACTTGTAAAATATACTTACTTGTTAACAAATCTTTTCCCTTGCTCATCTTCAAAGCTTGTGTACAAGTAGTAGAAGACTTCTAATATAATAAGTCATACCCCGATTTTGGAATTATAGTATTTTGTTGGCTGCATCAATAAGTCCAACTCTTTTGTGTTAAAGCGCTTTTTGATATTTGTGAACATCGATTTGTTTTGTAGGTCGTATCAATAAATATTACTTGTTAATTAAAGTTTAGTTAGTATTTACCCGAAAACACCTTTACTTGAAAAAAGACTCTTACCTTTTATTGGTGTTGATTTTCGTAAAAATCATCACAGGAGACCTTTAAAACTTTAAGAGAACCCCTCTTTTAGTAGATCATTCAGTCTAATTCATAATTAACGTGTTGTGAGACCTTTAAAACTTTAAGAGAACCCCTCTTTTAGTAGATCATTAAGTCTAATTCATAATTAACGTGTTGTGATCTCTTCGTCGTTGAACAAACTTTCGAGGAGACATAACAATATACGTATTATACTTTTCTATTACATATTAGATATAGAAGTTGTTCAAGTGTTTGAATGAAAGAATAAAACTGTTTAAGTTAATAAAAAAACTATTTATTCTCAATATCATTTCGAATTAAACCCGAAATCGAACCATTATCAACCCAAAATAATGCTTCGGCTTAGTTTTGGTCCGGTTTCAGATCGAACCGAACCATCTGGAACACTATACATAAATTGTAAATATCTGCATCTTTGTTATATTGCTTTCTATCGACTCATATAAGGAAGTACTCCGCAAATTTTTGATCAGAGTTTTCTATATCTGCCAAATTCAAAATTTGAGGCCATTTCTTCATTAATATATTTCCGGGATGAAAGTTACGATGCAAAAATTCCTTACACATACCGTGTATAAGTAACTTTTGACAAATAAATGTTTACTTACTATAATAAAATAAATTGAACAACTACTAAAAAAGAGAAGTGTCACAGGTCGCTTACACACAGCAAAACATGGTATATGCAAGCTATCGATAACATCAATTAAATGCATTAATTTCGCTTCTCACTTTAGTTGGAATTAATATATTCTTCTGCATAATCAATTATTATCGTGTATTCATTTGCACTGGGTGGGTTTTTTGTTATTCCCATTCCTGTGCTCTGAATCTAATATTGAAAAAAAAAGCAATTGTGCAACAAAGGTAGAAAAGGGTTTGTACACTAGTGGGATTTTTTTGAGAACCTCTAGAGGAGTTCCGGATTTCCTAGTGATTTTGTTGAGTTTATATGGTTTCTCCTAAATTCAATGAATTATCATTATTAAAAATCTATTAGGAAGCCACTAGGAAATCCGAACTCCTCTAGAGGTTCAAAAAAACCACTACGTACGTAGTGTACTGTTATATCGATTATAATAATTAGTTAAAGAAGGGTTTTTCACAACAGGGGTGGAGCTAGACTGAATTATTTACGAGTAAAGGGTTTCTTTGGGCATTCTAAAGGCTTCCCGTGGCGACTTGTACGCAAATCGACATTAAAGATAAGGAGCGTTTACAAAATAATAATAAATTATAATTCAAAATAGGACTTATTGATGCGGCCTATTTAAGAAGACAAAGTCAAAAATAAAAACAAACCAACAGGGCTTATTGGTACGGTCTGTCCAAGTAAGATCAAAATAAAATAACAGTCCAAAAGAGATTAACGGCTTATTTAGAGTGGAGGAGCGTCCACTACTTGCAATTACTCACAAGGTTTGAAGTTCGACCAATAGAATAAAGTAATAGTGTATTCACAAGTAGTATTACTATCACGAGTAAGAACTTTGTTATTTTATAGATCAAAACATGTTACTACGAAGGCTCGAAAGCACTCCTATATATACAAGATTGAATTATTATGCTAATTCTAAGATTAGTATTTTACATCTGTTTCTTTGGGACTTACCAACAATCAATTATCTATCGTTCGATTTCTAATCTATTTTTCTTAAAGAACGTCCTTTAGATAATCACGCGTCGAGACGTTCGATAATATTAAGAATCAGAAGGGAGATTTATGACTAGGGAAAAAGGTATCGGTATTGTCTCGTAACGAAATGCTTCTATTTTCGTATTGTGATTCGGGTTAATTAGGAAACTAATCTAAAAAAGGATTTTTATTTAGGAATAAATTTAGGAATAACGATAACGATAAATCGAAATTCTATTGTGGACTATTTAAGGTTGGATTTTCATGGACAAATGAGCGCATAAATTTTGGAATTAAAGGATTTAACGTTACTTTGGTAACAGTAGTCTGTTAAAAATCTCAACTTCCAGTATTAGTATGGAAAATAATAATAAAAAACATCATTTCAACTTTTCGCAAATTTAGCAAATATGAGGAAAAATAATATCGAGAATATTAAATATTGTTTGACTTCTCCACACTTTTATAATATCCAATTCGAGTTTTATAAAATAGCGCTATGTAGGACCCCAGATTTAATAGTAGTGGGGAACTGAAAATATAACCACGAAAACTTTAGGACGCTATATGTACTCGATAAAATATAAAAATCGATAAATTGATTTTTATTTCACAAGATTATTTTTGTGGTTCATATTAAAAAAATATTATTACTAACCTACTCGTTTGCAACGTTAAAATTTGATGAATTGTCTTACGATTCAAAGATTCAATATTTCCCAGTTTTGTTGATTTCCAATAAGATCGAATGCTTTTTTTGCTGCTTTACCGTATTGAATATATTCCATTGCTCTCTTGTAATACCATTTCGAAGTTTTAGTCTCATTTACAGCAGCATAATCGTAGCGTCGAGTTATGTTGCTTTCTGACCATTCCGCGACGCTTTATCACTCGAAAGACTCGTTCATTTACCCGTCTTGTCCCACATCTTTATTGCGGGGCATAGCGCAACTAGCAATATTATATTGTCCTCTCCGATTTATACAACCATTTTGTCCTTTTCATGAGATGATGATATATCACCATACAGTTACATTCTATTAAGTTCAGTTGTTTCCTCATTCATATCGATATGCTTTTTATTATGATTCGCAACCTACGCTATAACGGTATTCGAACATTAATTGTCATTTCCTCGGACTGAAATAGTAGTAGAAAGCATTACCATAAAGTTCATGTTCTAGAGATTCTGTTCTAAGACTGTCCTATCAAGTGTTATGAGCGACAGAAATAAAAAATACTTTATATTAACAAACCTGCTGTCGTAATAGAAGATTCCTGTGAACTCTCAATGTTTTACTTTACAATGCAACTTCTAAGTAGAGCGTTTATTGGGTGTCTTACAAAAATTCTTAGCGTTAGATTTGTTGATTCTCATTATTGCTATGAAATTCAGATTGTGGAACCTTGTATGTACGTACGTATATCGATATCGTAACATCGATAACGTCACACATGGCTACGCAATCTCCGGATTCTATCGCTATCGTACTTGAATGCTTTTTGCAAATCTTTTTGGTCTCTACCCGTATTAAAAAAGAAATTTGTTATCACCGCAGATAGTTGCTAGTCTTATCTCAAATTTTTGTATAACCATTTCAGCAGATTTGCGGTACCATTTAAACGCTCTTCGACCAGATTCATATATATATAGCACAGAGCAAGATTGAATAAAGCAAGGATTGTATAAAGCATGATAGTATCCCAATTCAGCTGCACTAAAATGCTTAAATTTTATCCTCTATCATTCCCACGCAGAACCGACATGTATTTAAGTGCATCTGTATGCCGATTTGAGCTAGCACTTAAACGCCTTTTTATTGTCACCAATCGAATCATTGCAACAATACCTCACCGGATTTATTTCCGATAGATATCTAACATGCCAAGAAAACTTAGCTGTCACAATTCACATCATTATTGGTAGAGTTGACGCACGCTCAAATCTTGATTCACCTGTATTCCATGAAATGTAAAATACAATTGTCATTTCCATTTCAATGTCGATACTACGAGATTGTGTATCATAATTCATGTACCAAGTTAGCCGTGAGAATGATTAACGTAATAATATGCCTGAGCGGATAAATACGGAAATGCAAACCGTGTTTTCGATAAAATAAGCTACGTAATAAATACACGGATGTTTAATACGCCGAGATTTCTAAACTTAGTAATCGTCCATTTCTTTCAACTCATTTCTCGAACAAAATAACCTTTGAAAAAACAAAACATACCAAGAACATCGACAACATGCAAAAAAGAAAAAGGTTTTTATTTTTTTCTAATATGGAATAATTGTTTGAAAGTTGAATGCGGTATTTCTGATATATATACACATGTACTAGAACTGACGATCATCCTACGCAACCGAATCCTATTACTATTAGACCAGGTGGGTTAAGATTTCGCGTCTTCGGCTTTTTTTCTAAAGAATAATGTGAAAAATAATTTTTTGATTCTAGATGTGTTGAGTGATCAAGCCAGATCCCTGTTGAGCGAAGAATTTAATCGACATAATCTACGTATTAGAGAAATCTGCCAAGAGGCCAATATAACAATAGATGATGTTATGGTTAATTATAACAAGAAAACCTTTTATGATTTTCATTTCCTTTGCACATTTTAAAAAATCCAATAATCTTCAATGAAAAATAGAAGTATTTAGGCAACCCGCGAAGTCTCACATTTGCACAGCAACCACAGCAACCACAGCAACCTCAACAAATCCAGCCAATTCAACAATCGTACTCACATCATCAACACTATCCAAACCATCTCCTTGACTTTGCCATTAACGATAGACGCAAAATAGAATCGATAGATTTCATCGAGAAGCCACATGTGCGCACTCGGTTTGTAATGAAATCAATGGCGGAAATCCGAGAAAAGTTTAAAAATCTCAAGGATCGAGCAGGCTACGAATCTGTGTGCATTATTGTCCCGAATCGAAATATGATTGATGTATCTCATCAATTGTTTGGTTCTTTGACTGGGGAAAAGTTTGCTCGAAAATCGCCACTTTTGCAATCAATCCCAAATGATTTTCATGTGTTTGCGCAGAATGATTATTTAGGTATTTCTTGGATGTTATTCTTTTTTTGTTTTTTGTTCAAGGACAATCGGTCTAAGCCTTTTTTATTTTCGGAGAATCTATTGGACGTATTATCCCAGAAAGTTCAATACATAATCCAATTGTCTCGACTAGTCCATTGACTCCAATCACGCCCTTTTTAACAGCTTTGCAATCATCGGGTCCTATTGTTACTACAACTCAACAACAAAATGTCACTACGACTTCATCGTCCTCTGCTTCTGCTTCTGCTTCAACTTCAACAGAAACACCTAATCCCACAATGGTAGCTGAACCATTGCAGACATCAGCATCATCCGAACCTCTACCACATTTGGAAAACTTTTCTTCGAACACAACAAAGAAAATTATCCGTGAAACATTACGGAACAAATTACGCAAGTATTCCCTTCAATTACGCGACAAGTTTCTTTCGTATTTGTATGATAATCAAAAAAATTTTTAAAACCGAATAGAAGCAATTTTGGGCACTACAAGTCGCAACATTAATGCGTCTGCATTAGCGAAAAGAAATGTTGCGGTGATGGGATGGCCTAGTGATATTCCTTTCACTACCGATATTGGTCCGCTTTCGGTAACGGAGAAAAAGCGTCTTTGGGAGTGCATGAGTGGCATAACATTCTATAAAATCTCAAAAGGCAATGCTGCTGTCAATGAATATGTTGAAAATGATGAAGACCCTAATAATAACAATAACATTGATGTCGAGAGTGATGATGACGCTAGTACTTTGGAGTCAGATACTATAGTGGACTAGTAAAATTTCTTAATTACTCTCCCTATGAAAAGCCACTTAACTATTACTCGTTAGAGATTCGGAAATACGTGCGATCATCCAATCATTGTCCGTTTGATAAATGAACACTAAACACAATAGAATTACATAAATATAACACAAGATACATGTAATTAATTGCCTTTTTTTTCCCATAAAGAAGGATTCTTATAATAAATGTGATTTCTTTCCTTTGCATGTCTTCATGCGTGAAACACTAAATCAATCATCCTTTTTTTTTTCACATTTTAATAAATCATTCCCTAAAAATAATATAATATTCATTTATACTCTGTTCTTTTGGTTCAGGATTCTGTATACCTATACTTATACATGTAGTATATATAGTTTATAATCAGCAACCGGCAAAAAAATGTCCATGACTAAATTCCACGCAGACATTAGAGCAATGTCAATTGCCATAAAACTAAGAAATCGAGCACGGTTACAACTCAAAGATCCAAAAGTGTATATGGAAATAAACTTTCCTTCGGTGACTTGGATTTCATCTGTCTCATCATCACCATCATCTTCTACTTCAACACCAACACCACCACCAATAATGCCATTCAAAGACAAATACGCCACCGACACCATCCATCGCCATCATCACAACCCTAAAAGAGAAAGATTATACGTCTCGGATCCCACGTTTCGATGGAATCTTCAGAAATCGGTCCCGCAACTGATTTTGTTTTGGGAGACCGTTTCGTTGGTAGGTTCTACAATTGCGCGTAGATGTGCTGGTTGGTCTTGAGTATTTCAATGTAGTTTAATATACACAAAAGCATTATCTTAATTTCCAACTACGTACTTCAAAATGTACCACACTTTTGATGATCACTAAATAAAGTTACCGTTACTGTTATATTGTTTTTTTTTAAAAAAAATTACTTTCAAAAATGGCATCCAGCGCTAGGAATCTGTAATTTTATGTATCGGTATTAAAAATAATTGGTGGTCACTCTACAGAGATCACCAGAAAATATCTCTAATTGCAGCACAAAGAATGAGCAAGATTTGGGGCAATACAGTACGTATGATGTATCGGTATCCTTGGGAAAAGGGATTCAAGCTAAAAATACATCTAGTACATATACGTACATGTAAAGTCATGTGAAATATCCAAACTACATACATGTATCTCATCGAAGCAGATCTCTGGCCAATAGATGACCAAGCTGCGTGCGTCACGTAAATAAACCCTACAATATTGAGATATTTATTTTTTTTAAATTTTACACAAGGAATCAAAAAATAAGCGGAATCTAAAATAATTTAAGTCGAGTATATATTACAAACGCCAATAAATAATATTAGACGCATTTTGATAATAATAAAAAAAAGGATAAGTGCACAAAAAATAGATTAAACGAATAAATAAAAATTCTGTATCTCATATTTTCTAGAATTTATCACCACCAGGTAGTGTTGACGAGATTTTCTTTCTTCCTCCAGGTAATGGCCGGATCACTTGTGGAATCATCGGCGGTGGTAGTATTAGTCTCAGTTCTATTACTAGCATTAGCTTGCAACTTAGAAGATTTAGAACCTTGAGGTTTACGATTCTTCGGTTTTTTGTTTGCGTTTTTATCCTTTTTATTCAATTGTCTTGAATTATTTCGGCTGTGTGTGGGCGATCCAGTTCGACTCTTAGTATCTGAGGAGGTTGGAAGATTTACTTGGGGGGTAGGATCAAGTTCAGCAAAAAGTTGTTCTTGCGCGACACGTCTGTCATCAATTGTTGGATCTGCAGAGCTGGTCAAATACGAAGAAGCATCGTTGATTTGAGAAGACTCGTAATTGTTTACTTGAGGTATTGGTGGAATATTGACAGGCTGTTGTAAAGTGGATGGTGTGGTGGTTGGCATTTGATTATTGGTTTGAGATATTGGTGTGGTGGTTGACATTTGATTATGGGTTTGAGATATTGGTGTGGTGGTTGGCATTTGATTGTGGGTTTGAGATATTGGTGTGGTGGTTGGCATTTGATTATGGGTTTGAGATATTGGTGGCTGCGGTGGTGGTGATGATATATAATAATGATTAGTCACAGGCAGCTGAGGAGAATTCAGTGGTGGTGGTACGTGATAATTATTATTCACAGGTTGCTGAGGAGGATTCAGTGAAGTCAAAGATGGAGGTTGTGCACTTTTCTGGGGTATATATTGATTATTGATAGGTTGTTGTGGCATAGGCAGAGCAGATTGAGAATTATAATAAGCATTATTATTAGGTTGTTGAGCACTTATTGGAGATTGAGCAGGAGCCATTTGAGATATTGATGGATTATAGTGATTATTGACTTGCGGTTGCGGCGAAGAGACTACCGTTGAAGATTGTGTATTTGTGTGCTGCAAAAATGGATAGCTATTAGTATGCTGTAATGATGGAAAATAGCTATTACTATTATTATTCGTAGGTTGCTGAGCGATTATTGACGATTGTTGAAGACGTTTATTTTCTTCTCTCACTCGTCCTAATTCAGTTTCCAAATGTGATTTATCACTGGTTATTTTAGCAATTTCGATTTGCAATCTGCTCATTTCAGCTTCATTCGTTTTCAGGATTTCAATCTCCTTTCGCAATTTCGATCGTTCGTTTTCAACCCTTTGAAGTTTCTCAAGTTCACTCTTCAATCTGGTTTTCTCATTTTCCATCTCTCCTTGTAATCTTTTATTTTCATTTAACAATTGATTTTTTTCACTTTCTAAGCTAGAGAGGTTACTATTTTCTTTTTGCATTCGTGATTTTTGATTTTCAATGTCTCTGTGTAATTTTTCATTTTCTTGTTTGACTTTGCTAACTTCCTCCATATATTTGGATTTGTATGAATATAAATCATCCTCTAAAAATCGATTTTTCTTTTTTTCTGAGTCAAGTTCAGATTTATACGTCGCGACATCTCGTTCTTTATTGTTGTACAGCTTCTCCAGATCTTTGATGCGCTTCTCCTTCTCTTTGGAAGCTTGTTCGTCTTCCTGGATTTTGGTGCGTATACGATCAAGTTCCGATTGCTGAGTGATATAACGTTTACGCAAATTTTCGCTTTCTTCAGCCTTTTTCTCAGCCTTTTTCTCCGACTCATTGATTCGTTGGGCGATACTCTCGAGAAAAGTGTTGCGTTCTCCCATGTGTTTAGTTTGAGAACGAAGTTTCACATTTTCAATGTGACTGTGTTCGGATTCAACTTGAAGTTTTGATAATTTTTCTTCGAGTGTCTCAATCTCTTTTTTCATAGCCTCATGTTCTCGAAGACGTAGATCACTGAGATCAGTTCGATTCTTTTCAATCTCTTTATTTTTCGTTCGTAGAGTTTGATTCTCTTGGATAAGTGATTCAATCTCTGTGGTTTTAGTACGTAATTGTTCACTTTCATTGTTCTTGTGAATATCAACTTTTGATTGCAAGTCACGATTCTTTTGTTGTAATTCATGATTATTTTGTTGTAATTCACGATAATTTTGTTGTAATTCATGATTATTTTGTTGTAATTCACGATAATTTTGTTGTAATTCATGATTACTTTGTTTGGTCCTAGTAACTTCATTTTCTATGGCCATTTGCCGCTCTTGCAAACCTTCAAACTGCTTCAATGATCTCTCGTATTCTTGATTTTGTGCTTGGAGTGCCTCCTCTTTAGCCTTTAAAGTTTTATAACTGTCACTATATTGTCGTGCTTGTTGTCGTATTTGGAGTTCTGACTCGCCTATTTTTAATTCAAAGGTTCGCACATGACGTCGAAGATCTTCAAGATCTTGCTGCTGATTGCGTTCTGTTTCCTGCCACTGTGTGTGTTGATTGCGCCATGTTTCGTCCTTAATCTTTAAAGTCGTGTTCTCTTGAATTAGGTCACGGTATTTTTTCTCAAGTGACTGAAATTCGTGTTCTTGAATTTGCATTTGGCCTTTTAACTTCTGCAATTCCTCGTGTGCCTGTCTTAACTCATTCTCCAATGAGTGGTAAGTCGACGAATCTCTCTTTTGTGCCTTTGAAAGTTCAGCAGCAAGTTGACTTTCACGATTCTTTATTTCGGCGATATCTTGCTGAAGTTTCAACTTGTTGGTCCGATTTTCTTCAGAGAGTTTCGCGTTTTCATTGGCAAGATCGACATTTTGTGATCGATATTTTCTAAGTTCACTGTCAACTATATGCAGTTGATTTTGTAGTTCTTGTTGTCGTGTCATTTCGGAATCGAATTGATGTTGTCGTAATTGTAGCTGTTTGTGCTCGGTTTGTAGTTGTTTGTGCTCGGTTTGTAGTTCCCTGAACCGTGATTGGATCTCATTGAAATCATTAATATCTTTTTGAATTTGATGCAGATCAAATTGTAAATCTTTATGTTTATTCTGAATTTCAGTATGATATTTAATATAATTATTGGCTTCAGCTAGTTGATTAAGCTGTCGATTCTGTATTTCTTCGTGTCGCAGAAAAAGCTCTTTGTATGATTTTTCTATCTTTTGATGATCACTTCTCCATCCTTGCAATCCTTGCAATTCTTGCAGCAGTTCCTCACGTAATTTTTGAAGCTCAATCTCCTCTTTTTTCAAATCCGCCCCTTCACGTTTTCTTTCACTGGTTGATGAAGAAGTAACTGGTGATTTGTTGTTATGATTTATTTGTAACGGAGGATCTTTGAAAAATTTTGTTAGTTGGGTTTGAACAATTTCTTCAACGCGAGCGGCTACCTCCCCAGTCAATTTGGAGTAATGCGCTTCCCAATTAGTCGGGGCTTCAACATATTGAAGCGGGGTTGGCGGCGGCGGTATGAAAAAAGTACCCTCAAAACCATTAGCTGGATATCCATAGGCAGGATCGATAATTGGCTGCTGTGTCAAGTCAGCAGAGATTCTGGGCCTGTTACTACGCTGTGGTTTCTTTTTTAAGGCATTGGAAGCGAGTTGATCATTCACTTCACCGTTCATATCTTGCACCTGTTGTGAATTTCCCTGCAATGAACGATGATATAAATAAGCACACAGAATTCATGTTGCAAATAAATAATCATGCGTATAATATTCATAAATTTACCTTTTTGTTATTATTATTGTTGTTATTGTTATTACTTTTCTTTTTATCTTCTTGATCACTAGATCCATTCTCCATGGATTGAGCGGCATCAGCGGAAGTCCAGGTTGGTTTGAATTCTTTAGCAAAAATATTAAGATTACTTTGTCTTCTACGAGACTTTTCTTTCTTTTCATCGTCCTCAGTATCAGTCTCCTTGTTCTCATCATTGAGTATGCCTGTTCTTGTGGTGGTATGATGTTCTTTACCTGTGTTTGACGACGATGATGTCGTGGTTGTTTTTGTAATGTTATCTCGAGGTGGAAACTGAAATTTGTCATTTAATACGCCCGCATTGGAACCTCGAGATTTGGTGCGTTCCGTACCCTTTGTAAAGGTGTTTTGTAGCTGCTCAAATTCCTCCTTGCTGATGTTCTGTTTTGCCCGTCTACATGTGGTTTAACATAGTTTAGTTTTGATGGCATTCATCACGAGAAACTTGAAGATGAAAATTACCGGTCTTTTGCCATTAAGAGCATCGAATGTGTCAGCAATATGTTGTCTCTTTTCTTTGATGTAAGGATTACGAACAATGTAGTCGCCTTTATCCTCGTCGGCAAACGGTGATATTTGATAAATATCGAGCTTGGTCGTCAGCTCACGAAAATTCGCCTACAAGCACGAAAGATTATTTAATTTCGATGACGGAACATTAATATCAAACTCGAAAATTCACCTCTTCTCTTAAATTCCAATCAGCTAAAGCTTCCAGTTCCTCTTTTTTCGAATTGTTAAATAAATTCTCCGCAGGGATTGATCCCGGCGCTGGCAGTTTTACCTGACACTCGACGTTTTTTTGTATTTTCGATGACGTCTTTTTCTTCCTTGATTGAGAAGCCAAAAATAATGTCGGCGATGCCATCGTTGTTTAACAACAATTAAGAAAGTTTCTTCTCTCTATGAAGATTCTAATGAAGAATTAAATGCGACCTGAAGCAAAAGTGTCAAAATAGTATCTATTGTAGTTGATGTATATTGTTAAGAGTTTAGAGTTCACAATGTTTTCTGTTGTGTAGCGTATCGACAGAATTATTTTTTTTGGTGTCACTAAATAAATGGCAAAAAGTGACCGTTATAGGCATGTGATTTATGTTGTTAGAACTAGCGCTAGCCTTTACCGGCGAATTAGGTTATTACGAAGTCGCTGAATGTTGAGGAATTACTGTCAAAACTCAAAACTTATTTAAAATCCCGCAATACATGGATACTGCCGTCCGTTATTACGCGATTAATCCATTTCCTATGAGTTTCTTGCTATCGACTGCTGCAAAATCAGCATTAAACAACAGCTACGCACAATTTCACTTGGATGCTACGATTTTCCAATAATAAAGAGAACATCTTATCTAGTAGAATATTATTAATTGTCAATTTGTGCCGAAAATAAGTTATCGATGAATTATCCTAATACATGAACATTATTAGGTTATTCATACTGAGAGACCTCCCCAAATGCACGTTATGACTCAGTCCCAAACTTATTTACTCTCTATAAATTCACACCCTCTCTAAATGCACACGCTGTCTTTTTTTCATATGGTCCCAAGGGGGATGCACTTAGAGAGGTTTCTCTGTATTACTACATGCTAGTCGCAGGGGCTATGGAATAAACCTTAATGGTTTTTTCCGTTAAATACATGTCGTTTGTGATATTATTTCTTAGGGCGGATGTATGATCCGCGTCGCCGCACTCACAGAGATTTAGGTTAAGCGACAGTCTTTTAGTTTTTTTGTCTTGCAGATCTTTAAAGTTGATTCGACTCTTTCACTCAGATTATGTTTTTATTCACTGAATATAAAAGGGATATGGTGCATAAAATCTAAAGTCATCAAATGTTTGTATTTTACAAAATGTATAAATTTAAACCATGAATATGATAGAATAGCCCCTTTCTGAGCATATTCACGGATTAAGTTTTGTATCTACTTCTTGGCAAAGAAGTTTTGTATTTACTTCTTAGTAAAGAAGTTTATCCATTTTATAAATACAAACATTTGATGACTTTAGATGTTATGCACCATACTCTAGCCTTCACCCTAATGCTAAAAAATCAACCTTTAACATTACTAGTTTTAAAGGTTAATTTATTTTACTTAAATTGTCACTTTTTAACATAATTATATTTTTTTGAGCTTCTAAGCAAAATTAATTAATGTAAAATTTAAAAGTAAGTTACTTCTTATAAAAAATATAATTATTTTGATAAAAATGAGTAATTTTATTTAAACTATTTTTGTTTGAACTGTGATTTGAACTAGAATGTTCAATTTACTGCATTGCAAAATTTATAGAAATCTACTGCAAATTATGCAAATTCATATAGTTTATAATATAATTTGTATGTATTTATATAATAATAATAATGATATGGATATTGTAACTTGCATTATAAAAATGATCTATATGATATTCTAAACAATGATAACTAATAATTAAAAAGTAATAATTATCAAATTTTAAATAATAATTGAATTATTAAAGTTTGTATTATTAGATCAAATAATAAAATTATTATATTGAATTAATATTTAATCAAAAAATTAAATAATTTTTAAAAACAAAATAATTACATCTGAATTTATTTTAAATAAATATTTTAAATATAGTATATAATATCTAAAGTTATCAAATATTTGTATTTTATAAAATGAATAAACTACTTTACTAAAAAGTAAATACAAAATTTAAATCATAAATATAATAAAATAATCTCTTCTGAATATATTTACAGATTAAATTTTGTATTTACTTCTTAACAAAAAGTTTATATATTTTATACAATATAAATATTTAATAATTTTATTGATAATAATAAATTATATTATATTTTATGCAAATATATAATTAATTATAGTAGAAAATTTATTTTAGATAATTATTTAAAATCTAAAAATAAAAAATAAAATTTAATAACCAATCAAAAAATTATTATTTCTTTTTCTTTAGAAAAACAAAAAATTATTATTATTTAATTTAAGTATTTGTTATTGCAAATATTCTCTTTGAAAAACTTTATTTATATTAATTTTTTAAATTAAATTTAATTAATAAAGATATATTATAAATGTTAATTAATTAAAAAAATATTATTTACTAAAAATTTATAAAATATAAGTCAAAAAATTGAAAAAAGATTTAATTTGAAAATATATTTCTATTATTATTAATAAAATTATATTAATATATAGTTAATATTTTATTTACTTATAAAAATAAAACAAAATTTAGTTTTCTTTATTATTAATAATACAAGTTATATAATAAAATTCTTTAAGAATATTCTTTTTTTAATTTTTATATTATATTATAATCTCTATTTAATATATATTTTTAATTTAATTAAAAAAGCATGAATTAGTTATAAAAAATTTAATTTACTTAATTAAGTTATTTCAAATTTTAAAACTATATTTACTTATATATAACAAGAAAAAAATAACTTTTATATTTATTAAATATTTTTAATTTTTCTTTGAAATTATACTTTCTCTTTTATTTATTAAAACAAAATAGAATTCATAATTTAAACTTATTTGAATAAATTATTATTTTAAAACTTTTTTGAAAAAGAAATTTAATTAAATAAAAATAATAATTCTCTTAAAAAATTAGTAAATATATTTTAATAAAAGAATAAGTCTATATTTAAAAATTTTAATAATGTTTATAAATTTTAATATTTAAAGAGAATTATTTTTTTATGATTTATATTTTTATAATATTTTTATAAATTATTAACTAATTTAGAATTTAAAACAAACTTTAGCACTTTAATAATTACTTATATATACTTTTTACAAAATAATAATAATTTTTTCTTTAATAATTAAATAAATTTTAAGTTAAATAATTCAAATTTAGAAATAAATAATTTAATATTAATTTTTATTAAAATATTTTAACTTTTTCTTGACAAATTTAATAAGTATATTAATTTTTATTTCACTTTTAAATTATTTGAAGAAATTCAATATTTTGATTTTTTATATTTCTATTTTTATTAAAAGATATATAGTCAACATGGAAAATAATAGTAATCATGTTTTTTGCCAAAATTCATCAATATTTTAACAAGAAATTACTTAAATATCGTAAATATTTGGCATTATATTCTTTAAAATGACAGAAACAAAATTTTCTAAGATCACAAAGCATGTTAATAATATAGTAATATTTTGTGGAATCACGTGCTAAAGATGACGAGCTGGAGGCTATCCTGGTTAGAGCTATAAAAAATTATTTATAAATATTTTTTATAAGCAAGTATGAAAATAATTTTATAGAAATATATTTAAACATATAGAAAATATATTTATAATTTAAAAAAAATTTTAGTTGATATTTATTGAATAAATGCCAGTCAAAAAAAGGCTTAATTTTGATAAATTTCATAATAAAATATAATAAAA